AACCTCTGGTGTGCAGACTTTAGGCACAGGTCACTCTGGCCTAAGGGACCTGAGGGACTATCTCTGGTCTCCTACTTCCTCTCTAAGCTTTGGGATCAGACCCGGTTGTGTCTTCTGGCCTCTGGAGAGTCATTGTCTACTTTCTTTCCTCTTTAGCCCTGACCACTTCTCCTGTGTGGACAACTACCTGGCTGCTGGAAAGTACAGGTAGGCCTAAGGTCTCAGTGCGGGGAGGGAAAGAGGGTGGCCAGGTAGCCCGGTAACCTCTGGGGGTGAGCCCCTGGGACCTGGGCTGGTGGGAAGCTGGATTCTGGGCTTGCTAGGCTTAAGACCCAGGGAGGAACATGCGCACCATCTGATCTGATCACAAAGACAGCCATGGATGGGCTGGGTATCCCAAAAGGCAAGTCTGTCCTGAAAGACCCTGTACCTGCAAGTCCCAGCTCTGCTCCTCACTTCCTACCGGCTCAGGGAGAGACTCCTCCCTTTGGGCCCAGTGCCAGCCTGGACTTCAGTTGGTTGTTATGATCCCAAGCCCCAGTTACCCCTGGTCTGAAGGGCCCTAAGGTGTTGTCCCCTCTCTACTTCCTCTCAAGGTTTTGGGAGTCAATCCCACTCTGTAGTCTGGTCTCCTGAGCAGCCATTGTTTTCTTTGTGCCCTTCTCAGTTCTGGTCACTTCTCCAGAGGGGACCTCTGGTCTGCTTTCCTTCAATGGATCTGAACACAGGTAGGACAGGGGCCTCACCAGGAGGGAGGGTTCTGGGAAGGGGTGGCCAGATGGCTCATGCAGCCTCAGAGCCACGGAGAGGAAATCCAAGGAGTCTTCTAAGACGGTTGAGGCACAGAGTGCTATAGAGAAGCCCCCAGCGCTCAGATCAGAGCTGGGGAGAGAGACATGGGGAGGACGGTGCTGGTTGTTAACTTTGGAGGAACTATAGGAAAGGTAGACATGGGTTTCTGGAATGAAATACATTTGTCAGAAACATGAAGAGTTAAAAATAAATGAGCTAAGCACTCAAGAGGACAGAAAGGGAGCAACAGAACAAGCCTGAGACATAGAAGAGAGAAAAATCATAATGGTGAGGGCCTAAAATCATCCAAAAGGATTGAAAAAGTGGAGATGAAGAAAACTCATAATTCTTTCTTTGAAAAGTTTAATGAGGTAGACCTGTTTCTAACAAGACAGAGCATCCAAGATACAAAACATCACCAAAGTGAAGGAAAAGAAAACAGCCACACACTCTACAAAGATGCTTTAAATAAATAAATCCTCAACAAATACTCTAAAAAAAATAAAAAGTCAAGATTAGCACAGGAAAAAATAGATTGGAATAGGCTGATAAATATTAAAGCAACTGGAATGTTAGATAAAGACTCATCCTCACAGAAACTTCACGACCCAGATGATTTTATAGGTAACACCAATCTTTTAAGAAACATTTGATTCATTTTATTTATTTTTATTAGGACACAAATTCTTTATTAGATAAAATTAGAAATGGCAATTACAATTTAAAATAGTAAATGCAGCTTAGAGTTTTTCCAGCATTATTTTATGCTTAAAATTCAAATATAAGGAAATAATGTATAATCAGAGCCTTAAATTAAACTTTTTTCTCACATGACAAATTCCCAACTTTTAATTCCAAAATTAAAAGTTCTGTTTATTGTAACAAAAAAATGTTTACCCCCATATACTTTAGAAATGTATAAACAAAACGCAGCCATCATCACCCCATAAATGCCAACTAAACAGAACCAAAAGTGAGAACAGAGCGCGGGGCCCCTGACTGCCTGGCTGCAATAAGGGCGAGGTTCTTACAAACGGCAGCAACACCTGCCGTGACGATATTCTGTGTGAGATGTCTTTAAGAAAGAGAAATGAATTTTATGACAAACAAACGTCTCATTGAACATAAAGCAAAATTTTAGGCACGAAAGCATTCTACATTCTGAATTTGCCACTGCCATGTCCTGTCTTTGGAGTAGAGGTTACTTGTCAGCTACATAACCATCAACAGAAGAACAGCAAGAAAACATGAGTGAGTTAAGTTTCATATAGTTGATAATAAACTATATAAGGCCATATGGTACTTTAGCATAACTGAGAGTCTGAATTTAAAGTACAATTTTCTATAAATGGAAGATAATATTCTATAGTGAAGGAAATACAGAAGTGAAAAAATCTGCTTGACACAGTTTCTAGGATGACTGGTTTTTTAATTCAAAATGATTGTTTGATTGAGAATATATTGTCACAATGGGACATGCTTTGTAACATTTGAGTGATCTGATATATCATGGAGAGTAAAGGGAAAGGGGTCCTCAAATAATCTTTTATAAACAGAAGATAAGCTTTCTCTTACTTGGTATTTTCTGGTATTAAGATCCAATCTGGGCCTGGCCGGGCGTGGCTCAGCGGTTGAGCGTTGACCTAGGATCCAGGCGATCAGGATTCGATTCCCGGTCGGGGCACATGCCCGGGTTGCGGGCTCGATCAATGACTCTCTCATCATTGATGTTTCTCTCTCTCTCTCTCCCTCTCCTATCCTCTCTCTGAAATCAATAAAGATATATTTAAAAAAAAAAAAAAAGATCCAATCTGGTATTATATACTAAAAGACTATCCCATCTTCAGTAAACTTATAAGTCACTTATGTATAACATAAAGTTTAATTTTACACAGTATCTCTTAAGGAAAATAGTGAGATCATCAACATGCAATTAAATAATGTGTGGCATCCAAGCCATATGTTCTGGATAAGCAACAAACATTTCTTCAAATTATGTCTCAAGGTTACAAGAAAAAACCTTTCCCACAGCCAGGGGTGCAGTTAAGGGGACACTAACCTGACCGGGAGTCCCTGCTGCTTGAAGAGCTGGAGTCACTGCTGCTCCTTTCAGGCTCTGCTGAGCTGCTGCGGCTGCTGCTCTCACTCCGCCAGGAACCACTTCCAACAGCAGCCTTGGGTGATGGCTTTCTCAGATTTGACGTTTTCTGGAATTCAGCTGATTATTGGCATCCAGTAATTGCTTTTCCAGCTCCTGTTTCGTTCTTCCTTGGGCTTCATGATCTCACCATGAGGCTCTCTTGGTCTTTTCCTTAGACACGCAGCAGCGTGCTTTCCAGCTCTCAGAGCTGCTGCTTTCAGTGTCCCCAAGCCTGTGTATCTCATCAGGCCTGGAATTTCTCAGGGAAGGCTCTCCTGCAGGCACTGTGTGAAAGACTTTCCCAAGTTTACCCCCGGGGAGTGTATTTATATCCGAACTTAGCCGCCTTTTCTCGCCACTGTTCCCGGGCTCAGCGCTGTCTCCNGTTCACCGTTCCCGGGCTCAGCGCTGTCTCCCTCCTCAGGTTTCAGAGCCAACCCTGGTCCTTTCCTCCTTGGCTCATTGCTCTTGGAGTTCTTTAATTTCACTTGCTGAAACTTTTTTCTTGGATTTTCATCTCTATCATTAACTTTTTCTCTCCCTTCTAGACATCTCTTCCTTTTCTTTAGCATATGGAAAGGTGCTTGGGACAGAACCTGTGCTTGTTGAGTAGCTTTAAGCTGCTCCCGAAGCTTTGCAGGAGCTGGACTGGTCCCTCCCCAGAAGCGCAGGAGAGTCCCCTTCCGAGCAAGCTTCGCACCGCCGGCCCTACCAAGGGATTTTGTGGTATCTGTTTCGGGGTTACTAACAGGCGCACTCTGCGCAGGTTCCTCTGAATCTTTGCAAAATGCGTTTTAGAAACATCCTGGAGTATTCTTGCCGTTGTCACGACTTCACGATCTGGAGGCCTGTATTCATAGCAATTCATGAACATTAATCTGACAAGTGCAGTAAATTCACAACCTTTCTTATATTCTTGGTTGTCCATCTTTCTCTTGATAGCTCCTAGAGCCACCAGGCTTTTCACAATATCACAGTAGTTGTGGGGTCCCAATGCCCTGACACCCACAGGATTATTAAAGGGCCATGCACATGAAAAGCGCTGCTCTGCGAGCATTTCTTTAAGAATCTCACTACAGCGCATCCATTGTTCGGTTGCTTGCAACTTACTTTTGTTGCTGAGAATCTGGCAAAACATCCTTCAGCACAGTTTCTTTTGTAGGTGGCATTTTTGCTGCATTTCCTCCCTGTAAGTGCTGGGAAGACCCCCCACGTGCCTTAGCAATCGCAGTTGCAGGCGTTGCTTCCGATTTCCTCTCGCGCCTTTGTGACCCGCTGGCCCGCGAGGAAGCGCGGGGTGCGGCCCCCGGGGCCACAGTGAAAGGAGAAACAGCCTTTCGGGGAAATGCTTTTCCCGATGCTTTCTTTAGGCGACTGTTTCTCTCTAACAGAAGAAAGGGCCACATTCTGCTGAGCGCCTTTCTCTGTTCTTTCCGTACCACCCACAGCTTGCTCCTCTTGTGCATCCGTAATAGTTCCGTTTAAACAACTTCTCTAGAGCTGGTGCCGTAGGAACCATGTCGTCTCTGGGCTTGTTGTAGAAACAGCAGTTTGAGAACATGGTGTTGAGGTCTCCTATACATTCTGCAGCCTGCATGTGATGTTTATGTTCCAAGTGCTTCTTTTTTTATTTTTTTAAAAAAATATATCTTTATTGATTTCAGAGAAAGGAAAGGAGNTTGAGGTCTCCTATACATTCTGCAGCCTGCACGTGATGTTTATGTTCCAAGTGCTTCTTTTTTTATTTTTAAAAAAAAATATATCTTTATTGATTTCAGAGAAAGGAAAGGAGAGGGAGAGAGAGAGATAGAAACATCAATGATGAGAGAGTCATTGATCATGCCCGCAACACAGGCCTGTGCCCTGACTGGGAATCGAACCCCAATCGCCTGGATCCCAGGTCGATGCTCAACTGCTGAGCCATGCCCGGATGGGCCCTAGTGCTTCTTAATTGTAGTTAGATCCATTGTTTTTATTTTTTATTTTTTTAATTAATGGTACAATGATCAAGCGGCNTCCTGGATCCCACGTCGATGCTCAACTGCTGAGCCATGCCCGGATGGGCCCTAATGCTTCTTAATTGTAGTTAGATCCATTGTTTTTATTTTTTATTTTTTTAATTAATGGTACAATGATCAAGCGGCTTTCGTTTCATGGCACCCACAGGCTGCTGAAAAGGCCAGGAAAATCTTTGCTCCCATAAAGCCTTTGAGACAACCCTTTGTAGATACTGCAGTTGATTTGTCAATCGCCTGTTTCTCGTAGTATTTATACACTCGGTGGTGGCGGGTTAACAATAGCTGTTTGGCTTCTGGGCAGAGACATTTTTTTTTTTTTTAGAGACACAATTAAAACATTGTTTATTGGAGACAAAAAAATATATCACAGTACAAGCAAACAAACACAAAAAGGGAGAAAGAAGGGAAAAGACCAATGTAATATAGATCATAACACATAGTGCAAAAATGCAATGTAGGGAAGTCATAAATAGGAAAAAAGCACAGATAAGAAATATTAACAAAATTCCCCCTTTTTATATTTTTAGTTTCACAGGCTGACTATATTTGAGAAATATTTATCCTACTATATACATCCCCCCATATTGATATGCAATATTGCTAAATATATATTAATAGTTCCCTTTCAAATGACAACCAAAATATTCTACTCTTTGAAAGCAATGCTGTGAAAGGTCAAACAAAATATTGGATTACTATTTTGAGCAAAAATATATATTTGGAAATGCAAATAAATGTGACATACTCATAATTGTGTAAAATATTGTAGCTTACTGTGACCAATTTCTGCTGATATTTTGCATTTTATTTGAAAGCTAATTGGAATATTCTTTTTTTTAATTGTTCAAAATATTACAGACGTTCCTTTTTCTCCCCATTGACCCCTTCCACCCTTTCCACCCCTCTCCCCCATCCCTCGCCACACCATTGTCTGTGTCCTTGGGTTGTGCATATATGCATATAAATTCTTTGGGTAATCTCTCCCCCCCACCTCCCTTCCCTCTGAGATCCATCAGTCTGATCCATGCTTCCATGTCATTGAATCTATTCTGTTCATCAGTTTATTAAGTTCTTTAGATTCCACATATAAGTGAGATCATGTGGTGTTTGTCTTTCTTGGGTAGAGACATTTTTAACTGCTTCAAGCCCTGATACTCTAATGTCTACAAGAACATGTCCTTTTCCTATACAAGTACTAAAACTGTTCATTTTGTTTGCCTTAGATTTGGATGATTTATGTTATCTCAACCTTTCACAGTATTTCTTTCTGCTTTTCTAAAACACAAATTGAGGTTTTAGCAGGGAAAGCCTGTAAGTTCCTTTCAAGATTTGCTATAAAGGATGGAGGTCAGGAAGAGCCAAGTGGAAGAGAAGCATAGGGGGAGATGTGGGCGGCGGGGAGGAGCACAGCTTCCATGCCCCCTCCTGTCAGACACCGTCTCAGCCCCTCCATGTGTTTGCCAGCTGCAAGCTCTCATTTGATTCATATTTTACACAAGATGTTGCAGAAAGTGAAAAAGAAGCAAAAGCTGCCCAGTTCATTTTATTTTTTTAAATTTATTTTTATTCTTTTTTAATTTTTATTTTTAAATTTATCTTTATTGTTGAAAGTATTACAGGTGTCTCATTTATCCTCCCCATTGACTGCCTCCACCTCGCTCCCACGCCCTCCCCAGGCCTTCACCCCCTTATTGTCTGTGTCCATGGGTTATGCATATATGCATATAACTTCTTTGGTTAATCTCTTCCCACCCTCCACCCCTTTTCCCTCTTCCTTCGAAATATGATCATCTGTTGCATGTGTCAATGTCTCTAGATCTATTTAGTTTGTCAGATTCTTTTGTTCATTAGCTTCTTCTTAAAGAAGACCCTTCAACATTTCCAGTAGTGTTTGTCTGGTGGTAATGAACTCCTTTAGCTTTTCCTTGTCTGAGAAGCTCTTTATCTGACCTTCAATTCTAAATGATAGCCTTGCTGGGTAGAGTAATCCTGGTTGTAGGTTCTTGTTTTCCGCCACTTTGAATATTTCTTGCTCTTCCTTCTGGCCTGCAAGGTTTCTGTTGAGAAATCAGCTGACAGTCTCATGGGTGCTCCCTTGTAGGTAACTAACTGTTCTTCTCTTGCTGCTTTTAAGATTCTCTCTTTGTCTTTAACCTTTGGCATTTTAATTATGATGTGTCTTGCTGTGGCCTCTTTGGGTTCCTCTTGTTTGGGACTCTCTGTGCTTCCTGGACTTGTAAGTCGATTTCTTTCCCCAAGTAGGGGAAGTTTTCTGCGATTATTTTTTCAAATAGGTTTTCAATTTCTTGCTCTCTTTCTTCTCCTTCTGGCACCCAAATAATACGAATGTTGGGCTGTTTGAAGTTGTCCCAGAGACTCCTTAAACTACGTTCATATTTCTGGATTCTTTTTTCTTTTTGCTCTTCTGGTTGGGTGTTTTTTGTTTCCTCATGTTCCAAATTGCTGATTTGATTTTCAGCATCCTCTACTGCTGATTCCCTGTAAATTATTCTTCATTCCAGTTCATGTAGCCTTCACTTCTGATTGGTACTTTATTATGTCATCGATGGTCTTACTTGTTTTCTTAATAGTCTTACTAATGTCCTTGAGCATCCTTATAACCATATGAACTCTGTATCTAGTAGCTTGCTTGGTTCTATTTCATTTAGTTCCTTTTCTGGAGATTTCTTCTGTTCTTTCCTTTGTGACGTGTTGCCGAGTTCATTTTAAATGTCCTCTTAGTCTCAAAACCAGTGAAGGAGCATACAATAAAATTAAATTATAGGTTGATTTCTCTGATTAACATAGAGTAAAAGAGGAAAATAAATATTAGCTAATTGAAGTCAAGAGTATGTTTAAAAAGTGTATGTTATGGTCATGGGGGTTTATCTCAGGACCAAAAGGGTTGTTTAACTTCAGAAAATCTGCCTATGAAAATAAATCAAATTAATAAACTACAGGAAAAAATCAACTGCTGCAGAAATAGCACTTGGAAAAGTTTAACACATTTATTATTATAAGAAAAAGTCCTTAATAACTTAGAAATAGAAAGAAATAACTTGGTAAGGACTGTATAGCAATGACTACTCTAAGTATTACATAATGGAAAAATGTAAATCCGAATTATGGATTTTCACAGCCACCACTAATGCTTAAGATAGTGTCAGAGGTCCAGGCCAAGGCTATAGGAAAAGGAAAACTGATGAGAAGAAAGAAGATTAAACAGGAAAAATTTCAAAAACTGTCATTTACCTAGAAAAAAACAAATAGAATCCATAAACTATTAGGTCTCATGAGAGAGTTTAGTAAGATTTCTAAATACAAGATCAAATGACATAAGTGAAAAGTAATTTATCTCCACTAGAAATAATAAGTTAGAAAACCTAATCAAAATAAGGTACAATTCATAATAGCAATAAAATCTATATCATATCTAGGAAGAATTCATTTAACCAAGACCTTTTTGGAGAAAACTTTAGAATCCAATTAATGATATGGATGGTCTCAATAAATAGAAATAATTTATGATATTGAATGAGACAATAATACTATAAAGATGTCAGTTTTTCCCAAATTAAGTCTCTAAATATAATCCCAAACACAATTTCAGTTTAATTATTATTTAAAGAACTTGATAAACTTACTGTACAATTATATGGAAAAATAAGGCTGCATGAATAGCTATGTCAACCATGAAAATACAAAAATAAGAAGAGAGGACTTGTCTTGCCAAATATTAAGATGTATTAAATAATACAACTGGTAACAGTGGTGCTGCTGCAAGAACTGATGACTGAACAAGGGGACAGGCTAAGGAGTTCAGGACAGATGCCTGGATATACAGCAACATACCTTCTGTAAGGAAGCACCAGGAATCAGGGGTCACAATGCCTACTACTTGGTAGATGTCCTTAAGAAAATGGACAGAGCACAGTAAAAAATACAACCAACCAAAAAAACAGGATCCCTACTTAACACTAAATACAAAGATGAACTCCAGATGGAGTCAAGATATATATATATATATGAAAAATAAAATCATTAAATTAATAGAAAGAAACTGCAGATGAATAGCTGTGTGACCTAGGCATGAGGAAGGACTTCTTATACAAAGTTTCAAAAGCACAAATCATAAGGAGATATATATATATATATATAATTGATTTGATTACATCAAAATTGAAGGATTCTAGTCAAGAAACAACACTAAGGGAAAAGTTATTGAGCAGATGACAAGCCAGGAAAAGTTTACTGAAACTGTCTAAAACTGCCATGGCAACACAATCTATAGCATACAAGGAGATATGCTACCCAACAAGAGAAAGACAGGCATCCCAGCGGAAGTGGGCAAAGCATGTGAAAGGCGGCTTACAGAAGAGGAAATCCAAAAGGCGCCCAAGGGATGTTTGACTACTTGTTAGTAATCAAAGAAACTCAATGAAAACAACCATGAAGTGCCAGTTTGTGCCTCTTCAACCAGCAAAGTGAGGACACTGTGAAGTGCTGGTGTCCTCGGGGATGTGGCTCATAGGAACTCCAGTGCGAGTGCAGACAGTCACAGTCATTCCTCCTCCCTGCTGGCCCCACAGACACGAGGGGGAGGCTCTTAGCATTGGCAAAGCAGCGGAGGGACTATCCAAGACATCGCAGGGCAGGAAGGAAGCCCAGAGGTTTCATGGGGCCGGCTGGTCCAGAACTGTCCCCCAGTCACTCAGGACAGAGACAGGGCAAAGGCCCAGGTTCCTGCTCCTGGGACCTGAGAGTCCTCCCCGGCCCCCCTGTGTGGCCCCCACACCTGGTCTGCCTAGCTCTGATTCTGGTTCCTTCTCTCACCCCTCACCCCCCAAATCTGCCTTTCTTTCTGGCCTCAGGAGCCTCCTGCCCTGAGCCAGCCTGGCAGCCGTGTCCTTTCTAAGCTGGTATTCTTCCTATGCCCCTGGGCTCTGACCCCTGCCTCTGCCTGGAGCCAGCCTTTCTCTCCACCCAAGACTCCTGGGTTCCCTATGACTGGGCCTCTTCACAAGCCCAGGCACCCCTGTAACCCTGTCCCCTTCTCCTGAATGCATCGTCCCTACACAGTCAGTTCAGGGTGGTCCCTATACATACAAACAAGTTCCAGCCACAGGGTACCTGGTTCGGGGACACTATAGGAGCAGCTGATATCCAGCCCAAGTCCACTCTCTCTCTCTCTCCTCCCACCAGGATATCAAGTTTCCCTCTGCCCCCCTGTTGGGCTGCCCCCATATTCCTGGTGGCTGTGCTGTGTGGACTCCTTGTGGCCAAGGGCCTGGTGCTGTCAGCCCTGTTCTTCCTCCTGAGCTACAGGTGCTGGGCGCAGGGTGAGTGAGCTGGGTGTGACTGGGGCGTGGGGGCAACGGAGCTGGGACAGCTTCTGCCCAGGAAAGATGGCCAAGAGGGGGACCCAGAGACCACAGAGGAGGGGAAAACGATAACAGTCTAATCTCAATATACATTGTTTCTGCCTTTCACTCGGATGTTATCTGCTCCCATGCAAAAGAAACGGACCTTAGCCCCAGAGCCCCCATCGCAGGCTCTGCCTCCTTCTCTGTCCTAAGAGGAGGGAGTGGGCCTGGGAGCAGGGTTAGGGGACAGGAAGGGGCCTGGCTGGAAGTAGGTGAAAGGGAGAAGGGAGGGGGACCGGAGGATGGGGTGACAAGGACATGGCAGGGGGAAGGGCAAGGAAAGATGGTGGGGAAGGGACTCACCTTAATTTGTTTGTTTCCTGCTCTTCCTTCCTCCTCAGGGTAAAAGACCATGTGGGGACAGCAGCGAGGGGGGCTCCTGATTGTGCCCGCCCAGCCTGGGCCCCAGGACCCTTGAATGCGTTTAGCCTCAGCCATGGATCCGGGGTGGATGCTCTTCTCCTCCCCCTGCCCGCCGTAGGAGCCGCCCTGGCAGTGGAACAGCACAGCCTTGGCAGAAAGGCCAGGGCCCAAGGCTGTTGGAGGCAGCCCGCAGGTCCCGAGGTCGCCTGTGGTGACCCTCCCGCCCGGTGCCGAGGACTCTGCCCCCTGCTTCCCCACAGGCCCGCTCGGCCCCTTCCCGCGCCTCTGCCCTGCTGCTCCCTCGGATGCCCCTGCTCTCTCACCCACCTCAGGCGGACGCCACGATTCCCCACGTCTTCTGTTTCTCGCCTCTGCGCTGCCTGCAGGTCCCAATGTATTTCCTCTTGTGCCCAAACCCAAGTCCTTGAACAAATGTGTAGGGGAAACTGAGCAAGACAGTGGACGAATTCCGCCGGCCTTCCTCTCCTCCCACTCCAGATATCTTAAAATGAGATAGAAATGACTTAAAAATAGATCCTAATATTGAAAATAAGAAAGGCTGTAACCAGCACACCAGAAACTGAGGAATTCCTAGAAGTTGGGGAAAAATCAGACGCAATTAAAATGGCAAAAACAGATGACTCAGCAGCTCAAAACATGAGCAGAAGGCAATACTCCAAAATGCTTCGTCCACCAAGAAGATGGACAGGGAGGGACCCGGAGGGCACTATGCCAAGTGAAAAAGGCCAGTCAGAGAAAGGCAAGCACCGTCTGGTTTCACTCATGTGGAATCGAACCAACAAACTAACACAAAATCGAAATAGACTCATAGGGAACAGACTGACAGCTGTCAGAGGTGAGGGGGTTGAACGACTCAGTTAAAAAGGTGAAAGAATTAAGCGAAAACAAGAAAAGCACCCCCCCCCCCA